GCTACGAGACTAGCAACAGTAGTTTTGGGAACCCACTATTTCTTTTCTTTTTTGTTGCTATTTTGAGAGATATGATCGGTCTTGGGAAGAGAAGCAATTTTAGGGTACCCATACAATTTGAAACATAAAGGTCTTATATGACCAAACCTTCCACAGTGGTGACACCTCTAGGGATGAAATTTATCTCTGGTATGATTAAATTTTTTTTGCCATGGTGTCTTTTCTTGTCAAGATGTTTGTCATGATGTTGAGACATTTGATTCGACATCTTTAGTTTAGACTTGGCATGATTGGAATCTGGTGAAGGTTATTCTGAATAAGGTTACTTTTTCTCATTAAACCCTAGACCACTCTTGTCTCCTGTCACTCTTCCCACTTGAAGAATTTCATCTAATGTGTCAGACCCATTATTCAGCATCTTGAGTGATTTAACCACTCTGTCAAGATTTGAATTCAGAGAAGTCACTTCACTTTCTAGACTGGAGATAGTTTTCAGACGCTCTCTCCTTTCTTCCTTCAGCTGAGTTATGAGAGCTTTCTGTTTCTCCCATTCTTGGCAAACTTCTCCACTTCTGAGACATAGTTATCTGTACGAGGCAGCTAGCTCATCAAAGGTTAGTTCACCATCACTAGACTCTTCATCAGAAATATATTTGCCTGTTAATGCTTTAACATACTTGGCAGATTCCTCTTCAATATCACTCTCAGAGTCCTCTTCAGACTAAGTAACAAATAGATTCTTCTTATATTTCTTAAGATATGTAGGACATTCAACTCTAATGTGACCAAAACATTCACATCCATGACATTGTATTCCCTTCCCTTGAGTGTATTTTTCTTCATCCCTTTTTCTTCCAAACTCATTTAACTTATGGATATCAGATGAGATGTTATTGACATTTGATCTTGGATTCCTATCCATCTTCTTTATCACTTTGTTAAACTGTCTTCCAAGCAGAACTAAAGGATTAAATATTCCTTCATCTGTATCCAGATCACAATCCTCCTCTTCATCTTCAGTATTGGTTACAAAAGTTATGCTTTTGTTCTTCTTTTCAGATCTTTCATCGATGCTTAATTCAAATGTCTGAAGGGATCCAACAAGTTCATCCACTCTCATCTTGTCAATGTCTTGTTCTTCTTCTATGACAATCACTTTCATATCAAATCTCTTGGGGAGAGACCTAAGCATATTTCTCACCAATTTGTCTTCGGGTATTTTTTTCTCCTAAAGCACTGGATGCATTAGGAATATCAAGAATGTTCATATGGAAGTCATTGATACTTTAATCATCCTTCGTTCTCATATTTTCAAATCTGGTGGTGAGCAACTGAAGTTTTGACATCTTAACTTTGGATATGCCTTCATGGGTAGATTGAAGAATCCCCCAGGCATCCTTAGCCATTTCACATGTGTTTACTAATCTGAAAATGTTCTTGTCAATTCCATTGAATATAGCATTCAAGGCTTTAGAATTTCCAAGTGCAATTTCATCCTCTTATTTATACCAATCTTCTTCTGGATTTAACATAGAAGTAGGTTCTCCATCTTCTCCCAATTTGACAGGGTATTTCCATCCTTTTAAGACAACTTTCTAAGCCTTGTTGTCCAGAGATTTTAGAAAGGCCACCATACGTGGTTTCCAATAGTCATAATTGCTTCCATCCAGAATAGGTGGTCTGTTCACAAATCCTCCTTCCTTGTCCATAGTACCAGAAAGTATCTTCCTAGATTTCACCCAGAAACAGAGCAGGATGCCTGCTCTGATACCAATTGAAATTATGGTATCAGATATGTGATGTCGAAGGAGATGTCACGACACAAATATCTGGGGACAATGTAAAATGCAACAATATAAAAGCAATAAAAACACAAGGGATTGTTAACTCAGTTCGGTGTACAACAAAACCTACTCCGGGGGGCTGCCAATCCAGGGACAAGTTCACTAAATAGTATCAATTCATAGACGCTCAGTAAACAACCAGTTTACGATCTAATAACTTAATCACTATCCGTGATATACTTCTACCTAACTAGACACACTTAGGTATGAGGCCCTCCTTAAATCACTTCAATCACTAATAATGAAGAACAACAAAATTATTAAGTTTGAAAAACCTCAATCATTCAATACTTAAAAGCTTATGAATGATCCACAATTTATAGCTCAAATTACAACTCAAGTATTGAAACAATACAAGAGTGTATTATAATTAAAAGACCCAGACTTCTAAATCACACAAAGTGTATTTTTCTTCAATTGTTGCAGTTGTACGAATAAGGATGCAAGTCCTTGTAAAGGTGCGACAACTTCTTTATCAGCTTGGGCTGAAAAACAAATATTACATATATAGAATCCCTTGAATATCTCCATGAAAGAAGGCCTAGATATAAACCATAAAGATGAGACATATCGAAAAATATTCCTTCATATTTTTCGCAAGATATAAACCACAAAACCTGAATAAGACGCGCTTAAAAACAGAAACAGAAAATCTGAAAACACGTTCAGATCAGCAGGAAGATGTTAAGACATCTCCTTTGACATCATTCAAAATCAGTTGAGAAGATTTACTTCAAATGTCAAGACATTAAGCAAAACATTACCAAAGCAGTGTTTTACCAAAATTGCTGCCAACAAACACTTACACACCTCTTAGAGTATTCAGTTATGACGATAATAAGGACTTCGAGTAGTTTTGTTTAGATGTTTCTTTGTTGCTTTTGTTATTATTTTTGGGATTTTTTCCTATTGTATCAAAATTTATGTTTTTAATTAATGAAGTATCTTGAGTTTTAAATGCTTGTGCATGTTTTTGTGATCTATGTGCTTGAATATCTTTCATATCTTTTATCATTTTTTTTTTTCTTTTTGATAATGCCAAAGGGTGAGAAGTGTACTCTCAGTGGGGTAAGGTATACTCTCTCTATTTGTCAACGGGGGGGGGGGGGGGGGGGGGGGGAGGGGGGGTTAACAAAT